CTTAGGTTCCTCTTACCTTGGACGTGGGTTATCTCTTCAAGGCTCCTCCATCACAGCGCAGCCACTGCTCCTTACCTTGGACGAGGGGTATCTCCTCACGACCACCCCACCTGACCTTGAATGTGGAGTCGCTCCTCTTGGCCCTCCTGTGCGCATGTAGCCGCCACTCCTTGGACATGGGGTTCATCAATTTACCCACCCCCCAAATTTGTGAAACTCAACGTTGAAAAAAACAAAACAAAACACTATGATCATGGTGTACAGTCCCATAACTTCATGGCAAATAGAAGGGGAAACAGTGAAAGCAGTGACATATTTTATTTTGTTGGGCTCCAAAATCACTGCAGACCATGACTTGCAGCCATGACATTAAAAGATGATTGCTCCTTGAAAGGAAAGATAGGACAAACCTAGAAAGCATATTAAAACCAAACATCACTCTGCTGACAGAGATTCATATGGTCAGGGCTATAGTTTTTCCATTAGTCATATAAGGATGCGAGATTTGGACCATAAAAAAGGCTGTGCTAAACTGCTTTCAGTCATGTCTCACTCTTGGCAACACAGTGAACTGTAGCCCTCCAGGCTTCTCTGTCCATGGGATTTTCCAGGCAAGAATATGGGAGTGGGTTGCCATTTCCTCCTCTACGGTATCTCCCCAACTCAGGGATCGAACCTGTATATCTTACATCTCCTGCATTGGCAGGCAGATTCTTTACTACTAGCGCCACCTGGGAAGCCCTAAAAAAGGCTGAGCACTGAAGAATTGCTTTCGAATTGTGGTGTTGGAGGAGACTCTTGAGAGTCCCTTGGACAGCAAGATCAAACCTGTCAATCCTAAAGGAAAATCAACTCTGAATATTCATTGCTGAAGCTGAAACTCCTCAATACTTTGGCTGCTTGAAGGGAAGAGCTGACTCTTTGGAAAATACCCTGATACTGGGAAAGATTGAAGGCAAAAGGAGAAAGGGATGACAGAGGATGAGATGGTTAGATAGCATCACTGACCCAATGGAAATGAATTTGAGCAAATTCCAGGAAATAGGACAGGATAGAGGAGCCTGGTGTACTGCAGCCCATGGGGTCACAGAGTCAGACGTGACTTAGTGACTGATCACCACTACCACCTCCTTTGTCTCTGACAAACCATCTGTCTATTCTCTGTATCTGTGAGCTTGCTGGTTGTTCATTTATTTATTTGTTTGTTTGTTTTTCTTTTAGGTACCACACACAAGTGAGATCATATAATATTTAACTTTTGCCTGTCTTACTTATTTTACTTCTCATAATGCTCTTAAGGCCCATGCACGTTGTTGTAAATGGCAAGATACCATACTTTCTTTTTTTTTTTTTTTTAAGAGTTTGTTAACAAGATTTTATTATTTTTTTCTAACTCAACAATTACTTAGTAAACTAGTAAGAGTTTTTTTTTTTCCTTTTTTTTTCCCTTTATTTTTATATGGAATTTAGAAAGATGGTAACAAGAACCCTATATGCAAGACAGAAAAAGACACAGATGTATAGAACAGACTTTTGGACTCTATGGGAGAAGTCAAGGGTGGGATGATCTGAGAGAATAGCATTGAAACATGTATGTTTTCAAGTGTGAAACAGATCACCAGTCCAGGTTGGATACATGAGACAAGTGATCGGGGCTGGTGCACTGGGATGACCCAGAGGGATGGGATGGTGAGGGTGGTGGGAGGGGGGTTCAGGATGGGGAACACATGTAAATCCATGGCTGATTCATGTCAATGTATGGCAAAAACCACTACAATAGTGTAAAGTAATTAGCCTCCAACTAATAAAGATAGCGTACTTTCTTTATGACTAACATTCCAATGTACATATATCCCACTTTTTCTTTGTTCATTTATTTATCCTTGGATGTGAACACCCTTGTTATTCTCTGCCTTTCTATACATCCTCACCAACATTTATTATCTCTTGTTTTTCTGATAATACTCTTCATTGTGGTTTTGATTTGTGTTTCTCTCATGGTTAATGCCTTTAAGTACCTTTTCATGTACCTTTGGGGTATCTATTTTGCATCTTCTTCAGAAAAAAATATATGTGTTCACATCTTCTGCCTGTATTTGAAATGAATTGTTTCTTTGCTATTGAGTTGTATGAGTTACTTATATTTTGTATATTAACCCCTTATCAGATATATGATTTGCAGATATTCTCTGCTAGTTTGGTAGATTTCCTTTTTTTTTTTTTTTTTTTTTTGATATTTTTCCTTTGTTACTGTGCAGAAGCTTTGTAGTTTGGTGTAGTCCCACTTGTTAATATTTGCTTTTGTTGTTAATATTTGCTTTTGTTGTCTTTGCTTTTGATGTCAAATTTTTTAAAAAGTCCTTAAGGTAGCCTCTACTAAGAGCATATATTGCTCTTTTTTGCAGTTGCTATTCCCATCCTTTACATATTGCTTTTCTTCAGTTGCTATTCCCATCCTTTACATATTGCTTTTCTTGGTATATTATCATCAGTATAAGGACACATCACTTCTCTACCAGATTGTCCTACAGTTTGCTTTTATCTTGTCCAACTTCTGTAGTCTTCACTTATTTGGTCAGCTTCCCCAGTGCTTCAGTGTTCTGTATACTCTTCTTCCAAATTCCCTCAATTAAATAATTTTATTTCTACAAGTTAGCTCTTTTCTTTTACTCCTCTAAAATAATTAATAGCGCTTTTCATCTTTGGTTCACAAAATAGGTCAAAATTCTAACAGATTTGTTAAATTTCACTCTAAAAAGGTGTTAAAAACCCAAATGTTGGGATTGACATATACACTTTGCTATATTTAAAATAGATAACTAATAAGGACTTACTGTATAGCACAGGAAACTCTTCTCAATGCTCCATAATGACCTATTGGGAAGACTGTATTAAAAAAAAGTGGACGTGTAGCAGGAAGTAATACAACATTTTAAATCAACTATACTACAATAATTTTTTTAAATAGCATCTTAAAAAATATTAGCTGTTAAACATGTTGACCATTTATGATTTTACTGACATACATATTAAAGTATTTATTTTACAATACTAAAGCAACCAGTGAAGGAGGCAATTACATGAATTTTATATTGCCAGTAGTTAACTCATATATTTATTAAAATGTCTTTAAAAGAATTTTTCGTTTCAATTTCCTGTTATAATTGTCACCTATTCTTTAGTACATTAGGAATTGAAATAGAGTCTTTGATTTAGGTATGTTTTAATTTGCCTGTTACCTCTATCTTGTCTGAATCTGTGAATTATAAAAGCGATTAAATTAGGGAACATTGAGATGAGAGGTAATGTTCTACACCCCATTTAATTGAGAAGATAGTGAAAGATCTGATCCAAAATAGTGACATTTTCTTAGTTTATTTCTAATATTCAAATATATAGACATATATACATTCAAAAAGTAAAGGTACCATCCATAGCGACATACACACAGTTTTCATTTTTCATACTGCTCCTGTCTTCTGGCATGCTAATAATGAGCAATCTGCATCCAGGTTCAAGTTAGTAAGACTCTTTCAGTAGTGGTTCAGAAAACTGTAGATAACTGGCTAAATTTGTCCTGACATGTTTGATCTGCACTCAGTTCAGTTCAGTCGCTTAGTTGTGTCTGACTCTTTGTGACCCCATGGATTGAAGCACTCCAGGCCTCTCTCCCGTCCATCACCAGCTCCAGGAGCTTGCTCAGACTGATGACCATCGAGTCGGTGATGCCATCCAACCATCTCATCCTCTGTCGTCCCCTTCTCCTCCTACCTTCAATCTTTCCCAGCATCAGGGTTTTTTCCAGTGAGTCAGTTATTTGCATCACGTGGCCAAAGTATTAGAGTTTCAGCTTCAACATCAGTCCTTTCAGTGAACATTCAGGACTGATTTCCTTTAGAATTGACTGATCTGGTATCCTCACAGTCCAAGGGACTCTCAAGAGTCTTCTCCAACACCACAGTTCAAAAGCATCCATTCTTCGGCGCTCAGTCTTCTTTATGGTCCAACTCTCACATGCATACATAACTACTGGAAAAACCATAGCTTTGACTAGACCTCTGTTGGCAAAGTAATGTCTCTGCTTTTAGTATGCTGTCTAGGTTTGTCATAGCTTTTCTTCTAAGGAGCAAATGTCTTTTAATTTCATGGCTGAAGTCACAATCTGCAGTGATTTTGGAGCCCGTGAAAAGAAAGTCTGTCACTGTTTGCATTGTTTCCGCATTTATTTGCCATATAGTGATGGGATACTAATATGTGATTTTTGCAAATGTTAAATTTATTTATCATTGTCAGTTTCATACACCTGCAGAGAAATTTTAACTGTTTGTAATAATACTTTTATTTTGCAGTTAGTACATCTTTATTTCTTGTCCTTCATTTCAAGTGGTAACATGACCTTTTCTTCTGGGTTTTGACATGGCTATTGTGATTTTTTGTGGAATAGCATCAATATCACTATCTCGATACACTTTTTGTAATAAAGACATATTTTTGTGAATAAACTTTCTTTAGTCTCAACTGATAGCCTTGTTTCTATATTAATAGTCCGTGTGCCGGGCACTGTTTACTTCTATACATGCTTTTGAAAGTGTTAACAAGAAAAATTTAAATTTATGTTATGAATTATTGAAGTAAAAGCCTATTTACATTTAATACCATCTGACCTTATACTATCTTAATAAAATTATTTTATATATAATCAAAATTTTAGTAAAAATGATAACATGAAGATTTGAGTGTGTTTATTAGCATAATAAACTGTAACTCATAGAACTGAGGTGAGAATAACAGAATAATGCCACTGACAAGTACCCAGCACATGGAAATGTCACAGCAAATCATTTATCTTAAATTTTTCTGTGTTTTAAAACTTGAGATTTTTATTATGTTTCATTTAAACCACTACAATATTGTAAAGTAATTAACCTCCAACTAATAAAAATAAATGAAAAAATAATAATAATAATAAAGAGTGTTTAACTTAAGTTTTATTTTTTCAGAGCACCTTCAAGTTTAAGTCTGAAAGTGATATTCATTTAGCAGAACATCATAAACAGGTTCTGTATGATGGGAAACTTGCAAGTAGTATTGCATTTACATATAATGCTAAAGCCACTGATGCTCAACTATGCCTGGAATCATCACCAAAGGAAAACGCATCGATCTTTGTGCATTCCCCACATGCTCTTATGCTCCAGGTGGGTGAATAGTAGCTTAGTCTTAATGTTCTCATCAACATTGTGTCTTTATTTTACATTTTATACGTTGCTCACCTGTAAATCTCCAGTTGCTTTTTGTTTTTCTTTTTTGGTCTTCTAGTTCTTTGAATGGTGTTTTTGCCTTCTGCATTTTATATGGCAATATAGTTTACCTTCGGCTTGTCTCCTTAGTAGGAAATCTGTCTTTTCTGTTGTATTATATGTTTCTTATCCTTTGAAATAAAATCAGTGAATTTGTAAATAGCTAAATGTAAATATAAAAATACTTTGGTATAAGAATGTGTAACTCCTTAACATAAAAAGTACTTGAGTGCTTTTATATCTATTAATAGCATCTCTTATTTTAAAATATATTTTGATTTAGACACTCATATTTTCAGTGTAAAATTTCTCAACTTAAGCTTTAAATTTAAGTGATTATCAAAATATTTCAAGCTGTTATTTTAAATGTGTATAAAATTATATAATTTTTATTTAAAATTTTAAAAATAGATTTTAAAATATCTATTTTATTTAATTTTCTTACAAAGTTATTTGAAACAAGGAAAGTGTGATAACATGCTTTAGAAAATTTAACATTTTTGTTTTTGAATGTAGGATGTAAAAGCTATAGTTACACATTCAATTCATAGTGCAATTCATTCAATTGGAGGGATTCAAGTGCTTTTCCCACTTTTTGCACAACTAGACAACCGGCAACTCAATGACAGTCAAGTGGAAACCACTGTCTGGTAAGTTTTCTTTCAATATGTAATTTATGGTATCTTTTAATTTTTTAGATTATGCATGGTACCCTTGGTGCTATGTAAATATATTACAATACTGATTTTTATTCTTAAAATGCTAATAACGTTTCTTTAGGATTAAGGCAGATATATTTACGCAAAGTAAAAAAAGTTGACAGGTTTTCTAACCACAAAGGAGTGACTTCCTTGATAAGAAATAAAAAAATTCTTACTAGGTATAGCATAGTGATTATAATATGAAGTAGGAAAAGTGTCAGTCCTGGCCTTTCACTTTGCAAATGAATGCTCATTGTTTGAATTGTTGGTGAAATCCTGTCAGAATTACTAGGGTAAAGTTTATTCTCAAGAATAGTATTTAATAACACTTATATAATTTATATCCTAAATATTAGTAGTATTCTATAATGCTAGTATCATAATACTAGCACAATATTAATTGAAATTAGCCTTTTTTCTTATGTTTGAGAACCTAAATCTAACCAGTGGCATATCCATGTTTTATATATTCAGAATTTTCTAATTAGATTTATTTCAAGTGCAATTTTTATAGCTTCTTTTTCTTAAATTAAAAAAATACCTCGTGTATTAAACTCCAATTTAACCTTTTCCTTCGAATCATTTATGGCATAAGTTAAATGTGAATTACACAAATAGATTAACTATTTCTGTATATGTTTTGAGAATTTAAAGGGAAAGTTATATAAGTAAACATTAATTTAGTTTACTAAACAGTAACATAGAAATGCTTCATTAATAAGTACACATATACATGAGATTCTTTATGGATCATCCAATTTTGAATTGATAGAAAAACTAGTGAATGAAATTAAGATGAGAAAAATTTAAAGTTCTTGAGATGTAAAATGATTTTTCATATTAATTATTTAAATTATCTATTAACAAACTTCTGTCTTAATATTGCTCATAATATTGTCCCTGTATTGGGACCATCTTTATGTAAATTATGAATCTAAATATAAATCTGACCTGTATATTTACGTAACTCAGCTCTCAGCCATGGGTCATGCTTTTTTTCTTTTTTTTTAAATATCAGTATAATGTAATGGTTAGCATTTGATATGAAATGAATCTGGAGGCCATGTCCTTCTGAGATATTACTTTGTTATGAGATATTCAGTCATTTTTTTGAGAGGCAGATCAGCTTAGTTGAAAAATGAAACTTGAAATCCCAGTCCTAATTTAAATGCAAATGTTTTCTTTATCATCTAAGTGAACTAGCACACATTATGATCAGTAATTTAAAACCTAGTAAGTACAATGAAAAGAAGTTAGAGGTGAAATAGCAATTAGAAAACTTCGCATGTAATTTAAATATATCTTATGAATTAATATTATGTCCATAATTATTTTAACCTAAAATATAGTGATTTGCTTCATGCAGAAATATTAGAAAGATTATGCAGTTTGAATGTTATACCTGAAATGATTATAATAATTTATATTATTGAATAGTTATAAAATCTCAGTGCTAAAACTATAGTTAACAGGTATCCGGTCCATTCATCCAAGGACCAGGACCAAGGACATGATTATTTGTCATATCCTGTTTTCAAAACTCATTTTAGTGTTTATATTATATTTTTATATTTAAATTGTATTTATTTTATAACAGATAAAAGGCAGTATAAAGGATCAGCTTTCTGATTTTCATTTGGATTTGTTTTTAGTCCTTTTATATTATTCATGTTAATTTTTTCATGCAATAACTTTAATTTTTTCAGTGATATATATGTTCTTAGTTTATGGCCATTTAAAAAAGTATAATAAGAAATGTATCACTTTCCATTTCAGTAATAATACATACCTGTTTTGGGTATGTATTTCAACCCTCCCCTGTGGTTCACTTATGTGCTATTTTGAATTCTTATCTAATAGTTTTTCATTATTTACTTCAAAGCTCTTGATGTATGAGGTTGGCTTTTGGACATTTGTGTGTATCAGTAATGCAATCTTTTGTTATATTTAAAGTTTGGAGGGCCACCATTTTGGTGGTGATACTTTCAGTTTTTAAAATGTTGAAAAAAATTTTAAAATGGAACATACCCCTCTACTTGAAGAACATAAATTGTTAGCTTTAGGGCAAGGATTGATAGAATTCCTTAATTTTGGGTTTTATCTTAAATTCATATATATGAATGAGAATTTAAAGTAGGATATGTTATCTTATTTAGTTAACTTTAAATTTCTAGATGAATAGGGATGGCTTTCCATAAGGTGCCAGTGGTAAAGAATCCACCTGCCAATGCGGGAGACTTAAAGAGATGTGGGTTCTATCCTTAAGTTGGGATGATCCCCTGGAGGAGGGCATGGCAACCTACTCCAGTATTCCTGCCTGGAGAATCCCATGGACAGAGGTTCCCGGCTGGCTACAGGCCGTAGCATCAGAGTTGGACATGACTGAAACGACTTAGCACACATGCAGGCACACACAGATGGATGCGAATCTATTTGAACTTTAAAAATCTTCAACAAAATTTTATATATGCCTCTTTTAGAAAATGTTTTTTGTATACTAAATATATGCCCCAAATTGCAATATTGTCTAATTCTGGACTACTTTTTGGAGAAATTGAGCTAAGCTCTGAAATAAGTTAATCCTTTGCCTTTTATGTTTCAAGCTAAAACATCTTACTTTCATGCACTTTCCTCCACTCAGTAGCCTGGTTTATGAAGCATTTTATTATTTACATAGTCCTCACTTCTATTGACACTATAATTTATTATTGTTCTAATCATTGATGAGTTTTACTGTATATATTGAGGTCTTAATATTAAAATAATTTATTGAAGAAATTATTTTCTAGAGCCTTTAAAAATAGGCTTTGTATGTACAGGAGAAATTTTATGACTTTGTTTTATCATGAAGGCTACATATTATAGTTGTTAACTAGTGTGGACGTTCAGGTTAGAAAAACTTGAATTCAAACCCCAAGTTTATTTATTGTTATTGCCATCTGACAAAAAATGGTCCACTGGAAAAGGGAATGGCAAACCACTCCAATATTCTTGCCTCAAGAACTCCATGATCAGTATGAAAGGGCAAAAAGATATGACATTGGAAGATGAGCCCCCCAGGTTGACAGGTGTCCAGTATGCTACTGGGTAAGATTAGAGAAATAGCTCCAAAAATAAGGAAGAGGCTGCGCAGAAGTGGAAATGATACTCAGTTGTGGCTGTGTCTGGTAGTGAAAGTAAGGTCCGATGCTGTGAAGAATAATATTTCATAGGAACCTGGACTGTTAGGTCCATGAATCAGGGTAAATTGGATGTGATTAAGGAGGAGACAGAGAAGCCTGGTGGGCTACAGTCTGTAGGGTGGCAAAGGGTTGGACCCGACTGAAGCAGTTGAGCATACAGCATACAAGTAGGAGATGGAAAGAGCGAACATCTACATGTTAGAAATCAGTGAACTAAAATGGAACAGAATGGACAAATTTAATTCAGATGACCATTATATCTACTACTGTGAGCAAGAATCCCGTAGAAGACATGGAGTACCCTCATGTCAACAAAGAGTCCAAAATGCAGTACTTGGGTGCAATCTCAAAAATGACAGATGCTCTCGGTTCTCTCGATTTGTTTCAAGGGCAAACCGTGCAGCATCATAGTAATCCAAGTCTCTGCCCCAACCACAGAGGCTGAAGGAGCTGAAGTTGAACAGCTCTTTGAAGACCTACAAGACCTTCTAGAACTAACATCAAAAAAGATGTCCATTTAATTATAGGTAGTTAGAATGCAAAAATATGCAGTCAAAAAGATACCTGGAGTAACAGACAGGCTTGGCCTTGGACTACAAAATGAAGCAGGACAAATGCTAACAAGAGTTTTGCCAAGAGAACACATTGGTCATAGCAAACACCCTGTTCCAATAGCAAAAGGGATGATTCTACACATGAACGTCACCAGATGGTCAATACTGAAATCGGATTATGTTCTTTTCAGTCAAAGATGGAGAAGCTCTATACAGTCAGCAAAACAAGACCTGGAAGTGACTGTGGCTCACATCATCAGCTCCTTATTGCAAATTTCAGGCTTAAATTGAAGAAAGTAGGGAAAACCTCCAGTGTATGACCTAAATCAAATCACTTATGATTATACAGTGGAGGTGACAAGTAGATTCAAGGGATTAGATCTGGCAGACAGAGTGCCTGAAAAACTATGGACAGAGGTTCATAGCATTGTACAGGAGGTGGTGACCTAAACCATCCCCAAGAAAAAGAAATGCAGGAGGGCAAAATGGTTGTCTGAGGAGGCCTTACAAATAGAAAGAAGAGAAGTGAAAGGCAAAAGAGAAAGGGAAAGATATACCTAACTGAAGAGAGTTCCAGAGACCAGCAAGGAAAGAGAGAAAGCCTTCTTAAGTGAACAGTATAAAGAAATAGAGGAAAACAACAGAATGGGAGAGACTAGAGAGCTCTTCAAGAAAATTGGAGATACTGAAGGGACACTTCATGCAAAGATAGGCACAATAAAGGACAGAAACAGCAAAGACCTAACAGGAGCAGAAGAGATTAAGAAGAGGTGGCAAGAATACTCAGAACCATACCAAAAGGTCTTACTGGATAGCCAAGACAGTGTGGTCACTCACCCAGAGCCAGCCATCCTAGAGTGTGAAGTCAGATGGGCCTTAGAAAACATTACTCGAACAAAGTTAGTGAAAGTGATGGAATTCCAGCTGAGCTATTTCAAATCCTAAAAGATGATGCTGTTAAAGTGCTGCACTCAATATGCCAGCAAATCTGGAAAATTCAGCAGTGGCCACAGGACTGGAGAAGATCAGTGGAGAAGATTTCATTCTAATCCCAAAGAAAGGCAGTGCCAAAGAATTCAAACTATTGTATACAATTGTGGTAATCTCACATGTGTGCAAGGTGATGCTCAAAATCATTCAAGCTAGGCTTCAATAGTACATGAACCAGGATCTTCCAGCTGTAAAAGCTGAATTTACAAAAGGCAGAGGAACC